CCTACGGTGCATGACCTTGGCTTGGCTCCTGATCTTTCTGTTACCTGATCCCTGAAGAAGCCTGATATGATTGGGCAAAACATGTTGGGTTACATGTCATCACGTCTTTGACGCAGTGACGTCATCACGCATGGCGGCGGTTTTGACCAGCACACACTCCATCACAGCTGACTTAGCCTCCACTCTCTATGAGCACTGAGGGCCCCTATACCTCATTGCCAGCGTGGGGTTCCTGACGGAGATTTGCTCCCTCTGCTTCCAAACACCTTATTTAAGGAAAGTAGTGATAGATAGCTACTGGATGATCTTCAATTAGTCCATGACTGTTCTTCCTGTGTATCCTGATCCTGTGTTTGCTCTGACTGCAAGTTATCAACTTGGCTTGCCCCTGGACCTCCCTTTCCATGACTCTTGATTTTGCTCCTGCCTAGCTGAAGGACCTTGTTTTCCCATTGACCTATCGTGCATGACCTTGGCTTGGCTCCTGAGTTTTCTATCATCTGATCCCTGAAGAAGTCTGATATGATTGGGCAAAACATGTTGGGTTACATGTCATCACATCTTTGCATGACCTTGGCTTGGCTCCTGAGTTTTCTATCATCTGATCCCTGAAGAAGTCTGATATGATTGGGCAAAACATGTTGGGTTACATGTCATCACATCTTTGCATGACCTTGGCTTGGCTCCTGAGTTTTCTATCATCTGATCCCTGAAGAAGCCCGATATGATTGGGCAAAACATGTTGGGTTACATGTCATCACGTCTTTGACGCAGTGACGACATCACGCATGGCGGCGGTTTTGACCAGAACACACTCCATCACCGCTCTCTATGAGCACTGAGGGCCCCTATACCTCATTGCAAGCGAGGGGTTCCTGATGGAGATTTGCTCCCTCTGCTGTCATCTAGTGGAAGGTGGAATTTGTTTCTCGGCTTGTACTTGTGAATGTCAACTGCAGATGGCTGGAGGCCAAAGAGGGTGAGCTACTGACTGAGATCCTGTTTGTTTATTTGGGTAAAGGTGCTGACTTGATTTTTTTCCAGCGTGGACTTTGGAATCTACACCTGTTGAATACCCAACAGAATACAGTATATTTCTTCATCCAACCATGTCGGCTGGTCTGCTTAATTAATGTGATGCTGAGGACACATGATGTGTTCTTCATGCACCTTATCTGAGGCTATCCATCTGTGTCAATATCCAGGAAATCTAATCTGGCTGAGATTACTACAAGTGTGGATATTGCTTGACTTCTATTTTCCTACAGGGACTATTTGTGAGCCACACTAGGTCCATAGGTCACAGAGGATTGACTATATGTCATTGCCCCGTTACGTTTTGTTAGTAAGGTGCTAATGAGTCGATGTGTATGGTGAGTGTGTTCTGGCTGTACAGCTGTCGTGATGACTAGACGACGTTGTCTTTTTGAGGAATTTCTTTGGTGAAAGGACTGTTGTTATTGTTCCTTGGTGTATTTTTGTTTTTAAAGTATCCGCACGGTAACTTCCTTTTAGGCTTTCTAAGACATTCAATTATTTTTGTAGCTAAGTTTCTGAATTACGCAGATCTCACCACTTTACTTATACTTCATTTATTGGTGAATTGGCAGAGGCTATTGTGGTAGTCATCACTGTATTACCATAACCTATCACGCCAGACGGCATTGGCTCGCTGTAGGTCCTAGGCATTGCTTTTAAGTTTTTTGTGCTTTCTATCATCTCCAGCTATACTACTTACCTGTGTATGACCTCAGCTTGGCTTCAAACAACATCTCTATCACTCACCTGTGCTTGGTCTCAGCTTGGCTTCAAACAACATCTCTATCACTCACCTGTGCATGGTCTCAGCTTGGCTTCAAACAACATCTCTATCACTCACCTGTGCATGGTCTCAGCTTGGCTTCAAACAACATCTCTATCACTCACCTGTGCATGGTCTCAGCTTGGCTTCAAACAACATCTCTATCACTCACCTGTGCATGGTCTCAGCTTGGCTTCAAACAACATCTCTATCACTCACCTGTGCATGGTCTCAGCTCAGCTTGGCTTCAAACAACATCTCTATCACTCACCTGTGCATGGTCTCAGCTTGGCTTCAAACAACATCTCTATCACTCACCTGTGCATGATCTCAGCTTGGCTTCAAACAACATCTCTATCACTCACCTGTGCATGGTCTCAGCTTGGCTTCAAACATCTCTATCACTCACCTGTGTATGATCTCAGCTTGGCTTCAAACAACATCTCTATCACTCACCTGTGCATGATCCCAGCTTGGCTTCAAACAACATCTCTATCACTCACCTGTGCATGATCTCAGCTTGGCTTCAAACAACATCTCTATCACTCACCTGTGCATGGTCTCAGCTTGGCTTCAAACATCTCTATCACTCACCTGTGTATGATCTCAGCTTGGCTTCAAACAACATCTCTATCACTCACCTGTGCATGGTCTCAGCTTGGCTTCAAACAACATCTCTATCACTCACCTGTGCATGGTCTCAGCTTGGCTTCAAACAACATCTCTATCACTCACCTATGCATGGTCTTGGCTTGGCCTTGACGCCGGTTGACCTTACCCTACGGGTCCTGTATCATCCTGCCACCGGAGTCTGAGGGCTGCAATACCTCTTCATGACTCCTTGGAGACTCCTGTCTGCCGTGGGGTTGCCAACTTTTCTTCAAGTCAAACTTGAACACCTGACCAGCGCGCAGCAATTTTTTTGTATAGTATACACTATGCGTATGTATTTTGTGAATAAATAACATTTCTAATCATATGGTATTAATCACAACTTTCCAACATATTTGCTGTGGAAAGACACTATTCATGCTTTGAAAGACTGTATACAAGGGCAGTGTTACCCCCCCCCCCCATAATACAGGGGAAAGTGTCACCCCCCTTCATAAAACAGGGGTCAGTGTTACCCCCCAAAATATTGGGGTCATTGTCATCTCCCCAAAATACACATAGGGGTCAGTGTCACTCCCACCCCTGAATAATACAGGGATCAGTGTCACTCCCCTTCATAATATAGGGTTCAGTGTTACACCCCCCCCCATAGTACAGGGGTCAGTGTCACCCCCCATAATACAGGGGTAACTCCCATAATACAGGGGTCAGTGTCCCCCCCCCCCCACCCTTACATAATGCAGGGGTCAGCATCACCCTCCCCATAATACAGGGATCAGTATCACTCCCCTTCATAATATAGGCGTCAGTGTTACCCCCCCCCCATAATACAGGGGTTATCGTCATCCCCTCAAAATACAGGGGGCCATGTCACCCACCATAATACAGGGATCAGTGTCACTACCCCCCCTTCATAATACAGGGGTCAATGGCAACTCCCATAATACAGGGGCAAGTGCCCCCCCCCCCCCTGCATAATTCAGGGGTCAGCATCACCCTCTTCATAATACAGGGATCAGTGTCACTACCCCCCCCTCCATAATACAGGGGTCAATGGCAACTCCCATAATACAGGGATCAGTGTCACCCCCCCTTCATAATTCAGGGGTCAATGGCAACTCCTATAATACAGGGCTCAGTGCCCCCCCCACCCCTGCATAATTCAGGGGTCAGCATCACCCTCCTCATAATACAGGGATCACTCCCCTTCATGATATAGGGGTCACTGTCACCCCCCTGCATAATAGTCAGTTGTGGATATGTGAGGTCCTCTATGCTGACATACTGATATATAAACAATGAGAAGATGATGAGGATGGTTGTTGAAAGATGCACATAGCACTGCCGTTCACCCCAAAATATATGTACACAGCAGGGGCGTACTGACCATTTGGAAACTCGGGCACTGCCCGAGGGCCCGGGGTCAGTAGGGGGCCCCATGAGATGCCCCCCTGGTACCTTTTTCATAGACTTTTTTGAGTTTGGGCAAGGACACAGGGGCCCCATGATCCCTTATTTCCTGTGGCCCCCATGAGTTGTCAGTCAACCCCTGGTACACAGCCCCTCCCCCCCACACAGGAACTCAGTTCCCCTCTTCTCCCCAGAATTCCTGCCACTGACCGCTCTCCTCTCCATCCTCTGTTGGTGTGATGATGTTGGACTGCGGGGAGAAGGAGGTGAGAAGAGATGCGAGGAGTCTCTCATCTTGACATCACCTCAGGGAGACTGGCTAGGGCACCGGACAGTGCAGGGAAGGAGGACACCTGTACAGAGAACCCCCACCACAAAGACCACCATAATACTTTGGAACCCTCACCCACAGGACTCCTCAGTATGGTCCGATAAATGTGTCCGGGTTTCAGGTGGACTGAAACCTGGGCACATGATTCAACACCTGGACTGTCTGGGTGAATCCTGGACACTTGGCAACCCTATTCTACCAGGTAGGGATAGACTACTGACCAGGAGCGGACTGACCATTTGGAAACTCGGGCACTGCCCGAGGGCCCGGGTCAGTAGGGGGCCCCATGAGATGCCCCTGGTCCCTTTTTCATAGGCTTTTTTGAGTTTGGGCAAGGTCACAGGGGCCCCATGATCCCCTATTGCCCAGGGGCCCCATGAGTTGTCAGTCCGCCTAGTCTTTCCCTACCTGGTAGAGTAGGGTTGCCAACTGTCCAGGATTCACCCAGACAGTCCAGGTGTTGAATCATGTGCCCAGATTTCAGTCCACCTGAAGCCCGGACACATTTATCGGACCATACTGAGGAGTCCTGTGGGTGAGGGTTCCAAAGTATTATGGTGGTCTTTGTGGTGGGGGTTCTCTGTACAGGTGTCCTCCTTCCCTGCACCGTCCGGTGCTCTAGCCAGTCTCCCTGAGGTGATGTCAAGATGAGAGACTCCTCGCATCTCTTCTCACCTCCTTCTCTCCGCAGTCCAACATCATCACACCAACAGAGGATGGAGAGGAGAGCGGTCAGTGGCAGGAATTCTGGGGAGAAGAGGGGAACTGAGTTCCTGTGTGTGGGGGAGGGGCTGTGAACCAGGGGTTGACTGACAACTCATGGGGGCCCCCGGGAAATAGGGGATTATGGGGCCCCTGTGTCCTTGCCCAAACTCAAAAAAGTCTATGAAAAAGGTACCAGGGGCATCTCATGGGGCAGTCCACCCCTGCTACTGAACCAACTGATTACTTCCAGGAGAAGCCATCAGCAACCAGGACCCTTGGCACCCATGCCACTTTGTACCTTGCACACCCTATCAACACATCCAAGGGTGTTTGGAACCAAGTAGCAAGGGAAGCCCTCTCATCACCAGGTATGTGATACAACGGCACCCTCGTAAATCCTGTCCTAGTCTATTTAGAGAAGTGGAATCCTACAGTGCCTAAATCTCTTTAACTGCTGGCACTTTGTTTTTTTTATTTATACATTTATCTTGTGCTATCCATTTGTTTTTTGCAATAATTCCGGCTGCTAAGCAGAAAGTTTAATAATACCATCCACTAACAAAATAAAACCATTTCAAAGAAGAACAAAAAAGCCAATAAGAGTAAAGCGATCACCATAAACTATCTCCCTGCGACATTTTTCATGCCAACCCTCTGCTAAACTAAAAGTCTGGTAAGCACTTTTTTCCTTCATATGCAGGCCTGGAATTCTGGGGCCAGGACAATCTTTACTGTGTGATTAAATATCACCCAGGGTTTGCTTTTTAATAAACTGTTTGAATTACACCGTGTGTTTTGCGGAGCAAGAGCTAAGCGCGTCCAGAAATGGCTCCAACTCCCGGGAGAGCGCGACTTTCATTAGTAGAGCGCAGCTCCTCTTTCTGCTCTGAGAAGTGCTTGAGATCTCCCGGTGGAGGGAAAGTTTGCAGTAAGATAAGAAGAAAATAAGGGGATGAAAGTAAGACGCCATGACTAGACTGCACCTAAAATGGTAGTGTAACGCGGGGGACAAAGTTCCTCGCCATAATACACTTTTCGAAACAACTAAAATGACAGCTGCCTCCAGTCCCACTTCGTCACATGTATTAAACTGCCTCTACTGTTTGCTTTTAGGAAGAGTTGTCCATGGTCCTAAAACTTACAGAAGGTTGGGTAAAATGTATATTGAGTTTTTATGGTTTCACTCCATTAACCACCAATTTAAAGAGGGATTTTACAAGGGGGTCCTAATCACTGACTCCCGAAGCAGAAAGTGAGCAAATATAAGTGGTGAATAAGAAAACAGGCTACCAGTGAGCAGGGGTTAAAAAGAAGGTATGATGGGAAACACTTTCCAGACTCATTTCCAGATTCCAGATCCTTTCTATTCCAATGTGCTTCCTCGGACTATTGGTAAAACACACAATTTCAGTGAGGGTCACACTTCCAGCTCTTTCTCAGTTCCAGTGTCCTTCTTAGGGTCCCCATTAGAGTGTGCCTTTACATCAGGTGTCTCCATCAGAACTCCCCCTAACATCAGGTGTCCCTGTCAGAGTACCCCCTTACATATGATTAGTTATCCCCATCAGAGTGCCCCCTTACATCAGGTGTCCCCATCAGAGGGTCCCCTTACAACAATCATCCCCATCAGAGTGTCCCCTTACCAGGGGCGGACTGACAACTCATGGGGCCCTCGGGCAATAGGGGATCATGGGGCCCCTGTGTCCTCACCCTCACCCACACTCAAACCACACCCAAAAAAGCCTATGAAAGGTTCCAGGGGCATCTTATGGGGCCCCCTACTGACCCTGGGCCCTCGGGCAGTGTCCAAGTTGCAAGATGGTTAGTCTGACCCTGCCCCTTACATCAATTGTCCCCATCAGAGTGTTCCCTTACATCAGGTGTCTCCATCAGAGTGCCCCCTTACATCAATTGTCCCCATCAGAATGCCCCTTTACATGGAAAGTTCTCATCAGAGTGCCCCCTTACATCAGGTGTCTCCATCACAGTGTCCCCTTACATCAATTGTCCCCATCAGAATGCCCCCTTACATGGAAAGTTACCATCAGAGTGCCCCCTTACATCAATTGTCCGCATCAGAGTGCCCCCTTACATGGAAAGTTCCCATCAGAGTGCCCTCTTACATCAGGCGTCTCCATCAGAGTGCCCCCTTACATGGAAAGTTCCCATCAGAGTGCCCCCTTACATGGAAAGTTCCCATCAGAGTGCCACCTTACTTCAAGCATCCCCATCAGAGTGCATCCTTACATCAGGCGTCCCCATCAGAGTGCCCCTTACATCAGGTGTCCCCATCAGAGTGCCCCCTTACATGGAAAGTTTTTCCATCACAATGTCCCCTTAAATGGAAAGTTCCCATCAGAGTGCGATCTTACATTAGGCGTCCCCATCAGAGTGCCCCCTTACATGGAAAGTTCCCATCAGAGTGCCCCCTTACATGGAAAGTTCCCATCAGAGTGCCCCCTTACATAGAAAGTTCCCATCAGAGTGCCCCCTTACATGGAAAATTCCCATCAGAGTGCCACCTTACTTCAAGCATCCCCATCAGAGTGCCACCTTACATCAGGCGTCCCCATCAGAGTGCCACCTTACATCAGGCGTCCCCATCAGAGTGCATCCTTAAATCAGGCGTCCCCCATCAGAGTGCCCCCTTACATCAGGCGTCCCCATCAGAGTGCCCCTTACATGCAAAGTTCCCATCAGAGTGCCCCCTTACATCAGGCGTCCCCATCAGAGTGCCCCCTTACATGGAAAGTTTCCATCAGAGTGCCCCTTACATCAGGCGTCCCCATCAGAGTGCCCCCTTACATCAGGCGTCCCCATCAGAGTGCCCCTTACATGGAAAGTTCCCATCAGAGTGCCCCTTACATGGAAAGTTCCCATCAGAGTGCCACCTTACTTCAAGCATCCCCATCAGAGTGCATCCTTACATCAGGCGTCCCCATCAGAGTGCCCCCTTACATCAGGCGTCCCCATCAGAGTGCCCCCTTACATCAGGCGTCCCCATCAGAGTGCCCCTTACATGGAAAGTTCCCATCAGAGTGCCCCTTACATCAGGCGTCCCCATCAGAGTGCCCCTTACATGAGGCGTCCCCATCAGAGTGCCCCTTACATCAGGCGTCCCCATCAGAGTGCCCCCTTACATCAGGCGTCCCCATCAGAGTGCCCCCATGAGGCGTTCCCATCAGAGTGCCCCTTACATCAGGCGTCCCCATCAGAGTGCCCCTTACATGAGGCGTCCCCATCAGAGTGCCCCTTACATCAGGCGTCCCCATCAGAGTGCCCCTTACATCAGGCGTCCCCATCAGAGTGCCCCCTTACATCAGGCGTCCCCATCAGAATACCCCTTACATGAGGCGTCCCCCTCAGAGTGCCCCCTACATCAGGCGTCCCCATCAGAATGCCCCTTACATGAGGCGTTCCCCTCAGAGTGCCCCTTACATCAGGCGTCCCCATCAGAGTGCCCCTTACATGAGGCGTTCCCATCAGAGTGCCCCTTACATCAGGCGTCCCCATCAGAGTGCCCCTTACATGAGGCGTCCCCATCAGAGTGCCCCCTTACATCAGGCGTCCCCATCAGAGTGCCCCCTTACATCAGGCGTCCCCATCAGAGTGCCCTTTACATGGAAAGTTCCTATCACAGTGCCCTCTTATATCAGACTAGCTCATTGATCAGTGGATGCACTCTCAGAGACCTGGGGGGGGGCACAACAAAAACTTGGGGGCCACAACAAAAATCTTGGGGGGGGGGCACAACCCACCTGAGCAACCAAAAGATCTGGTCCTGGAGTGAAGTATTGGGTCCTAGAGCAGCCAAGGTGGTCACCATTCTTAGGAGGATGGAGAGTGCCGGGCTCCTAATACCAACCACATGTCAGTCCTGCTTTTGCTGTAGGGATTGCAAGTCCTTTATGCCAGATGCCGACACAGCAATACGGAACACGACGGCATCGAAGATTTCAGGACTGCCAGCAAAACGAATTTTCAAGGATCGTCTCCTCTCCATTTAGAAGTTCTCCAAACGATTTCGCTTGTCTGGGGGGGTGACTCCTCGACGAAAGCATTTGCACGGCTATTTGTACGTCTGCATTGAGCGCTAATGATGTATTATCGAGCAAGGAAATCGTTCTCCAAAACAAACAGCCAAAAGGCTGCCAAGTTTTCAAACAACCACCTAGTTAAGTCCTCCGGAGGCTGAGAAAAAAAAAAAAAAAAAAGATCGCTTAATTCCCAGACACGCCTGACTGATCGCCTTATTTAGTATCGGAAATATGTCGGCGCTTAAAAGTGAAGAATAAAAACTTAAAAGAAAGAGCAGCGCCGCTAACTTACCTAAATTAACGGAGGCTTTAAATGTAATTACTAAGTCCCGGAACGTAATCCTTCAGTCGAAACGTAACCTGCGCGGAGATCGCGGCGTGGGTCTGCCGAGACGCCGCTCAATAACGTTCTGCGGCTTAGCTGAACTCTCTTCGGAAGTTAATCGAAACGGCAAAACTTTATTTTCAACTCGACTGCTGTATCTGCAAACGAATTAGTAAACTAAACTGCAGCGAAACGTTTTCCCGAACGGCGTCCGTTTAAAAGCGGAATTATTGTCTGTTTGCAGGTTTGTTTCTGAGCTAAACGTGAGAATGTGATTTGCTCGTAGATCTAGGAGGATAGATTTGTGTATACTTTAGATGTATTGCTTTTTATATAAAACTTTATTAACCACTTCAGCTCCGGAAGATTTACCCTCCTTCCTGACCAGTCCAACACTCCACCCCCCCCCCCCCCCCCCAAAAAAAAAAAAAAAATGTATGCCCTTTTTTCCCCATAAATAAAAAACAAATGTCTTCATAAAGTTTAGGCCAAAATGTATTCTGCTGCATATTTTTGTTAAAAAAAGATCCCAACAAGCGTATATTGATTAGTTTGCGCAAAAGTTACAGCGTCTACAAACTATGGGACATATACTGGAATAATTTTTTTTCATACTAGTAATGTTAGCGATCATATAGCATGATATATGTGTGTATATTTTAGATATACAGTATTACTTTTTATATAATTTTTTTTTTATTTAACCACTTCAGTCCTGGAAGTATTACCATTTTTCCTGCACAGGCCAACACTGCACCCAAAAAAAAAAAAATGTATGTCCTTTTTTTCCCCACAAATAGAGCTTTCTTTTGGTGGTATTTGATCACCTCTGCGGTCTTTACTTTTTGTTACAGTTACATAGTTAGTCTGTATGAAAAAAAACAAAAGTCCATCCAGTTTATTCATTAAAAAAAAAAAAGTTATAATCCTACACCCACAGTTGATCCAGAGGAAGGCAAAAAAACCCAGCAAAGCACGATCCAATTTGCTCCTGCTGGGAAAAAAATTCCTTCCTGATCCCCCGAGAGGCAATCGGATATTCCCTGGATCAACTTTCCCTATAAATGTTATATCCAGTTATATTCTGTGTATCCAAGAAAGAATCCAGGACTTTCCTACAGCAATCCACTGAGCCGGCCACAACCAACTCTGGAGGGAGTCTATTCCACATTCTCACAGCTCTTACTGTGAAGAAACCTTTCCATGTTTGGAGATGACATTTCTTTTCCTCCAGATGGAAAGAGCGCCCCCTTGTCCTCTGTGATGACCTCAGGGGGAATAACTACACCGAGTTCACTATATGAACCACTGATGTTTATACATGGAGATCATACCCCCCCTTATATATTATACATGGAGATCATATCCCCCCTTATGTATTATACATGGAGATCATATACCCCCCTTATATATATTATACATGGAGATCATATCCCCCCCTTATGTATTATACATGGAGATCATATCCCCCTTATGTATTATACATGGAGATCATATCCCCCCTTATGTATTATACATGGAGATCATATCCCCCCTTATGTATTATACATGGAGGTCATACCCCCTTATGTATTATACATGGAGATCATATCCCCCCTTATGTATTATACATGGAGATCATATCCCCCCCTATGTATTATACATGGAGATCATATCCCCCCCTTATGTATTATACATGGAGATCATATCCCCCTTATGTATTATACATGGAGATCATATCCCCCCTTATGTATTATACATGGAGATCATACCCCCCTTATGTATTATACATGGTGATGATATCCCCCCTTATGTATTATACATGGAGATCATATCCCCCCTTATGTATTATACATGGAGATCATATCCCCCCCCCTTATGTATTATACATGGAGATCATATCCCCCCCTTATGTATTATACATGGTGATCAAAACACTTTTTTTCAAACATTTTGGACATTTTCATTTATATAGCAAAAAAATCAAATCCTAGTGGTGAGCAAATACCACCAAAATAAAGCTTTATCTGTCTCAAAAAACTTCAAAGAAATTCATATGGGAACAGTGTTGCATGACCACGCAATTGTCATTCAAAGTGTGATAGCGCTGAAAGCTGAAAATTGGCCTGGGGGGAAGTGTCCGGACTGGAAGGGGGGGGGGAAATTGTCCGGACTGGAAGGGGGGGAAAGCGTCCCCCTTATTTGGGAAAGTGTACACTGGAAGTGGTTAAGGTCCCTAACCCTCAAGGGGTGTTACAATTTAAAACCATTTCAATACCGGGCACTTTTACACCTTCCTGCCCAGGCCAGTTTTCAGGTTTCAGCGCTCTCACACTTTGAATGACAATTGCGCGGTCATGCAACACTGTATCCAAACTAAAATTTTATCATTTTCTTCACACAACTAAAGCTTTCTTTTGGTGATATTTAATCACCGCTGGAGTTTTTATTTTTTGCTAAATTAAACAAAAAAAGACCAAAAATTTTGAAAAAAAAAACACGTTTTTTTTTTGTTTCTGTTATAAAAGTTTGCAAATAAA